ACAGGTGATGACAGATATTGTTTTTTGCATGATAGGAGGGTATGCTGTATTTAGAACAATCTCGTCTTCTTCCCAGCAAGAAAAAAATATCTTGTGTGGTATTTTGTTGTTAAATGTTTTACTATCACCTATATATGTACATTTTCAAGTAATAGCATAATACATATGTGTGTGTGGATGTGCCTGTGAGATGGATGGATACTTGCAGGGTGTCAGTCCCTACACAAACATTTCCTTCGTTTTCATCATCCTTAACCTTATCCTCATTCTATTCCTAATTGTAGTTATCATTATCATTAATCATCATCATCATCATCATCGATGATGATCAATCATCATAATTCTATCACTTTAGTTTCTTTGATATATTTATTTAAAAATTATATATAGTAACATTTCACTCTTTTCCAGGTAATAGCCAACAGATACAAAAGGACAATGGCGGAGATAAATAAGATCTCAGGAAGTCCAGAAGGAGACTACCTTGTGGATAATGAGGATGACGATGACGATGACTTTGATGATGTGCCTTATGGTGAGTCTGCCCATCCTGTTTCTTCTTCTCCTCCTCCTTGTTATCTTTCTTTTCTTTTTCTTTCTTTTCCAACAGAAAAAGAAATTTTGGGGTTTGTTGTATTCCATTATGTTGGTGCTTTATATCAAATTATCTTATGTGTGAAAGCTTTACCTCTCAGAACCTCCATCCTTTGTCTTGCCTTACTCCCATAGGGAATACTTTGGTCTTTGATATTTTAGGGGCTTGATTTTACCTACCAGAAAATATAGATTTCACTCTACTGTCAAATATAAAGTTAAACTTATATATAAAGTTAGGCCTTTATTTAAAGTATATAAAGGTAAAGTTCAAGTGAGCAGTGTTAAAAAGTCAGGTTCGACATGTAAGTAAGGAATAATTAAAACAATAAATAATGTAATTTTATTTATAAAAAAAAAAATAATGTCAAGTACAGTATCCACATAAGGAGGGGAATATATCTGAATGGCTCAGGTAGAGGAGGCCCCTAGGGGAGAGCCTGATGAGATGGAATAGCTGGTATATAGTGAGGGAGCAGATATTCCAGACAGTGGCAGATTTACTTGCTCATTCACTGCATGTTACTCTTTAAAGAAGTGGAAAATTAGGGTTTCATTTCTGGATTTAGGAAGGAGAGAAGGGATGATGAAATGTTGGTTGAAGCTCGAGAAATCATAATAAGCACTATCACTGTTCTTGTAAGAATGGAAGATTCAATAGTTTTTTCCTTTTCTGATATTTATTGGTTATTTATTCAAAATTGTAAGAAGAAAAGCCTCTTTCTTTTGTGTTCCATAGCTGTTTGATGTCTATAGTGTGAATTACCATTGAGAATAACTTTTATTACTAATATTTAACATTATGACAACTGTCATACAAAAGATATAGCATGTTAAATCATGGAGCCACATGACTGGGTAGTGAAGGAAAGTAGTAATGTTAATGAATGTATATAAGTACAGTTGTGAACAGTTTGAATTCCCAGATTCATTGAAGTTAAGAGGTCATCACTTTTGTCAGTGCATAATACAAAAACGGTAAACATGTTTTGTATCTTCCAGGCAAGTATCGCAGTAGCAGAGGGCGAGGAAGAGGAAGGCCCCCAGGCCGCTCACGTGGCAGAGGACCTGGACGGCCCCGTGGTAGACCAAAGATAAATACACCAAAGAAATCCCCCACAAAGTGCATTGTCAAGCTAGAATATGACCCAGAGAGAGTGGAGGACTTAGAAAACGTCACTTTCTTTCCAGCCATTAAATCCCCTCCTTTGAAGACAATTAAAAAGGAAGATATAATGGTGTGTAATTAATTTTCTTGTTTCAAAGCATCTTTGTTTATGTATCTTGTAAAATGTTTAATATCTTCCACACAAATCCATGCCTGAATTTTGTTGTTTCAATTTGTCCTTTTTTTTTTTCTTTTCTTTTATTCCCATTCAATGAGGCTGAGATTTAGATGTCCAAGCATTGTTAGTTTACAAGTCTGAGTATACTGTTAATGTACATCAATATTATTCCTTCCACAGCATGGGCTAGAAACTCCAGAAAATCCCCTCCAGAAAATAGAAAATGAAGAAGTTGGACACATTGATGAGAAAGTGCTTCATGCTAATGTCAGTGGGGCAGATATGCCGATTGTGGAGGGTGATGTCACCATGGACATTCAAGGGGATGTTTTAAATGTTGTGGAAGAAGTACTCGAGGAAGAGGTTAAAAGGGGTAAAATGTTTGCCTGTTCCGAGTGTGACAAGCAGTTCCTTACCAAAGCTGCAGTGAGAAACCATATTAAAGTTCACAATCATCTAGACTCCTATGACTGCGAGGAATGTGAAAAATCGTTTGCAACAAAGTATCGGCTCAAAGCTCACTTAAAGACTCATATAGACAGAGACAGACCACATAACTGTAGAGTCTGTAATAAGGCATTTTACACGCGTTATCATTTGAGCACGCACATGAAGTCTCATGAAGGATTGAGGAATTTTGTGTGTGAGCTCTGTGGAAAAGCTTTATCAACACAGAAAACCTTGGAGCTTCATGCATTAACTCACACAGGTGAGAAACCCTACCAGTGTGAAATATGTGGTTCCACTTTTAGACAAAGGAGTAACTTGCACACTCATATTAAAGCCACTCATTATCAAGAAAAAAATTATCATTGTCAGTTGTGCCAAAAATCATTTGTCAGAAAGAGATTGCTAGTATACCATATGAACAGTGTCCATACTGGTGAGAGGCCCTACAAATGTGAATTGTGCAATGCCAGCTTTGTGTATCCTCACTATTACAAGCGGCACTTAAGAAAACATACAGGAGTTAAACCTCATAAATGCCATATTTGTAATAAAGCATTTGCATCAAGAGAAAATCGCAATGCCCATATGTTCACGCATTCAGATAAAAAACCATATGAATGCAAAATTTGTGGGTCAGGTTTCATGCGGAAACCACTTTGTGCTTCGCATGTAACCGCCCATGGTCATACGGAGAATGTAGAAGCATATATAATCTTCAATTCACCTAGTCTATTAGTGTCTGCTGGTCAGGAGGAGATGGTTGTAGCAGATGAAGAGGAGGCTGCTCGTGCTGTACATGCCGTGAGAATGGCAGAGGAAGCGAATACTCATGAAACCATTGAAGAGCCAGTGCAGATTATGCGCGATGGGAAGGTTGTGAAAGTCATGTCTAGACCAGTGCATATCATTGAGGCAGATGACACAACCCGCTATGTTATTCACACAACTGACAGAGGAAGGGATGAAAATATGGAACATTTCTTTGCTGCCCTTCAAGGTCAAGTGGTTGAAGTACGTTCAGAAGACTTTTAAGAGCAGCAATATTTCATTTAATTAGATAGTTTTTAATTATCTATAATTTGAATTTAATGGTATGCTATTGTGGAATGCATTTTCACTGAACAAAATTTAGTGTGATATTTTTTCCATTATTATTTTATTACTGGTATATAAAAGTGACTGTCTCAGCTGATACAAAGTGTATCAAACAGAGAACTCATGATAAAGATGAAAGTGGACCATTAATAGGTGGAGAAGAAATTCAATAACATTTTGTCTTTGACTTAAAAAACTGGTTGTTACCATGGCCATTGAAGACCATAATGTAACACAAGTGGAGGTTTGAGATTAATAGTAATAAAATCAGTGTTACTATTCTAATAGTCGTTCAGATAAAATGATTGTGTATTACCATGTAATACAGGGCAGGATTAATATTTTGCATTTTTAATGTAAGACTTAGCTATACCTATTTCTTTTAAATCCTCCATTTAATTTTCTTTTTCTAATTACTATTAATTTTCTTCTCCTTTTTATTATGTCATGATAAATAAAATCTTTAATGCTTTTCTTGATCAAGCAGTGTACTTCCATGTGAATATTTTTCTTATTTTTTATTGCAAACATTGTAGATGTACAATGTACAAAATATATCTGATTTTGTTGTATATATTATATAATTTGAGAGGCAATACATTTTATGGATATCTTCTATAATACCAGAGTTTAGATATGATATTTCACAGACTAAATGAAAAGTTAATAGTTTGACATGTAGTTTTCTTTTCCGTTCTTTTGCTTTTCTTCCTTGAAGAGTTGATAAAAAGCAAGTTTAAACAAAATTAAAAAGGTTATTTTAGTTTCCTTAGGTAGATATCACTTTAAGTCAATGAACTCAGTATATGGGGTATTAAAATTATCATATTTCTTGTTGGTAAATATTTTATTGGTAAATTATTTGAGAAAAATTAGTCTATTGCACATAGTTTTAATACATTCAGTGTAAAGATAAAAATTCCAGTGTATACAGTAAACTTAGCACCTAAATATAGTGATTGTATAAACATTAAATATAGATACTTGTATTGTTAAGAGATATGCAGTTTTAACCATTATACTGTACAACTGATCACAAATTACATGTAAATCCCCAAAATATTTTATAAAAACATAATTGTAGGTAACTTTTAAATTCAGCTTATATTGTTTATCCTCTGTGGGTGAGGCAGGTGCATGAACAGACATTTAGGGCCATTCACAATTAATGATCATACAAATAAATATGTTAGATATCAAAAGTCATATGGCAGATGTCAACGATAATAGACTACTAGAAGATAGTGTGGTAATGAAAAGGTATAGCCGAGCAAATGGAATAATCCATGGCTTAGTAAAAAGGGGAAAGGTCTAAGGGTGATTAGGTCAAATGGAGAGTATCTGTGCATCTAAGAAAGGAAGAGCAACAGTTCAAGAGCTATTATGAAACAATCAACAAGTAACAAGGTTAGAAATGGGTGTCACAGAAGCAGGGGGGAGAAGATCCCAGGGAATAAGACAATGGAAAAGGGGAAGGTGGTGAAGTATCAGGAAGACTGTCAGGAGGGTAAGGATCCAGAGGACACTTGTGACAGAAGAGAGTCCTGTGAGCATCGAGGGAGCAGGAAGAAAAAGGGGGAAAGGTGCTGATGGAGAAGAGAAGGGGACGATAGGGTTTATTGGGAGCAAGAGGGGATGAAGATGAGGCTGTATGTTGGTAATTACTTTGAATGTAGAGGGAATAGGAGTAAAGAAACTGCAGGGTAGATGATAGAGAGGAGTGTTCTCTTAGGTTATGTTTAGGATGTTTTGGATGTCAAGAATTTCTGGAGAGGAGTAGGGTGGAGAGATCTGAGAAGGGGAGAATTAATTAATTAATTAATGTTTAAAAATAAATGTGCTAGACACCCAAGGTCATGTAGCACAATGGTAAAGTATTGTGTCAGAAAGGGCAGAGGAGAGTTAAAGATTACAATAAAATGAGTTAGATGTCAAAGGTTTAAGAATGTTATAGGATAGTAGGGTAGTGAAAAGGGGGATTAGGGGAATAAGTGAATTAGAGCAGAAATTTGTATAAAGGGGAGGGTATGGTGATTGAGTGAATTATAGTGTATCTGTCACTGGGGAAGGTATAGGATTCAAGTGGAAGTGGTAGAGGGGGTATGGTATGTTGAGAGGGTGTAGGAGGAAGGGGGCTGGAGGGAACTTGGGAAGGAGGAGGATAAATATCTGCAACTACTTTAAATGTAGCAGGAGTAGGAACAGAGAAATTGGGGGGTGGATGAGGGAGTGGAATGTTCCCTTGGGTCAAATTTAGGAAGTTTTGGATGTCTTCAAGGGTTTCTGGAGGGGAATTTGGTATAGAGGACTGAGAAACAAAGGTTCTCGTATAAGGAGGAGAAGAGGAGATGGATATCTGAGGATCAGATGACTGGTGGATAGGGTGAGTAGACATAGGACGTAGGTTTTGGGTATAGGGAAAAGATACCTGGGGAGATGTAGAAATATCTTGTGTAGATGGTGGGGGAGCAGAGCGTAGGACTGTTTTGGAATAAGATGAGAGAGAAAAACCTCTTCGTCGTGCTTCCTGTCTGGCTTCACGTAGAGTGAGGCCTAGTTTAAATCTGAGGATTGCTACCTCACATTCAAACTTATAAGTAGTGCAGCTCCTATAAAACACATTATGGGTCTCCACAATTGGCACATGTACCTGACTAAGCAGGGCAATTTGAACAGTTATGACCAGGTTGGGCACATAGACAGCAGCTGGCTGTGGAGCGACAATGTTTGGCTGGGTGGTAACAATAACTAATACTAACTGATAATAGCTAATAAAATAAGTAATATTAACAAGAACAACAACAATAATAATTATAATAATAATAATAAAAAAAAATAATAATAATTATAATAATAAAAAAATAACAATAATTATAATAATAATAATAACATTAATAACAATAATAATAAATCAAATCAAGTAATAAAATAGAAGAGGCGAGGATTATATATAAGCAAATTGAGACTGGGCAAAAGACATATAGCAAAACGCATTATATCGGAAACAAATGATTAACAAATCTCTGGACACTCAACTACTGCACTGGCTGTGAGCATTTCAATAGACAAATCAATAAACCTTTAAAGCAGTGAGCACCAAATAAACTAGCTCTTTCTAATATACTTCTACAAAACATAATTACAATCAAGGATTTGCAAGTGAAACCCTATCATTACTATATTCCAAGCACAAGTGGACATCTGACAACAATAACAATTATCATATATTAATTACATTCTGATTCCTTCATCCTCATCTACAATACCTTCGTACACAACCACCAAGAATAATAAAAAAAATATATATAGCTATATTAAGTACATTCTATAGTGGGAATCACACAAATTTGATATCAAATTATTTTTTACTTTATCACGAAACCTATTATATCCCATATTCATGATAAAAGCCTGGCTAGCTGCTTTTAATAAATAAGAAATAAATTGTGATGGAAAAGAGTTATAAAAAATTCAGGCTAATATCTAAAATTGCAGAATGTGATTCCAAGTGCAGAAATCATACAGCGTGCTTCGAATTTATCTTCAATCTTTGAAACTTGAAAAATCTCAAAATTCATTATGTGTGGCTAATTACTAAAACAGTTTCCCATTAGTAAAACAATGTTGAATCACATGCCTAAATACCATTACTGTACAAATGAGAGCACATTTTCAAATCGGTTATATACTGAATGGAAAATAAATCTTCTAAATCAAATATTATTCATGAAATCAATAAATCATAAAAATACAGACATGATGGGGTAAGCACCATGCCAAAAAAGGGGAGGGGGGGGATAATATGTAGCTTTACTGAGAAAAACAGAAAAGGAAATAAATACAATCTTAACACTGGTAGGTACTTACACATAAATACTCCTTTGGATCCAGTTATACTATTATACTACAAAAAATCAAAGCACATGTTCAGCTTTCCAAACAATATAGACTATGTTTATATAAGGAACCTTAGAGAAATTTGGTCTAAAAACATCTCAAGATGTTTTATGACCACCTGAGTCCAAATCAGAAAATACAAAGTAAAAGAATTAGAGGCTGCTAGCCATAAAACAAAAGCAAGAGAAGAAAGAAAAACAGAAGGATAAAGAAGTGAAAATGCAACAGAATGTGGAAGTTCCATGAAGCAAATAAATATTATAAACTGTATCCAGCACAATTGGATGCAAAGTTAATAGCATGGGTATATCTAAGTACATCATTTCCTTCTAATACAAAATATGGAATATGGTTCATTTCACTTCAAATTTCTTCATCTTACATATATATGACGTGTATACACATTATTCTGAACACATATCTTAATATTAGATTATATTTCCTAGAGTATTTTACTGCTAAACAATGATAAACAGCAATGGCACACATTATTTTTCTTGCAATGCCCAGTGAAATCAACCTTTTCAATAATATGTTGGCAGATTTCTGCCTGTAGAGAATCTAATATACAATTTCAATAATATTAATTTGTATTGAAATATACATTTTTTATATAACAAGAAAATATTATACACCTCATTATCAAAAATACATCTTTTTGTACCATAATTACAAAAATACTTCTTTTTATCCATGGAAATTCATATTACACCTTAATTAGAACTAAAACATCTTATGCCTATCTACATCTATGAATGTTAGTAACTGACTGTCCAAATAACCTGTCTCATTATTTACTATGCCTATTATGCACTTCCAAGTTTCTTAAAGAAAAAAAATCACTCATTTCATCTGGCTTAATCCAACTGACTATCAACCTCACTTATAACATACTTGAGCTTTGCGACTGCAGCTTCAATACCCTCACTACTTACGTCAAAGTGTGTTACAAAACGCACAGAGTCTGATGTCCATGGTAAGACTTTGATGGCCACTTCCCCAATTTCAGAAATCTCTTCTTCACTTACCTAAAAGACAAAAATAGAGTGATGAACTGATAACTATATCTAGTTTAAGTTTACTTTTGGTAGAAGGGAAAGGAAAAATGTAACAATGAAAATATCTAAAATCATTGCAAAACTCAACACTAACCATTTAAAACCTGAGCCTTGGTTGCCAATATCATCTTACCATTACTAAAAACTACTTTTTCTACAATAATCACTTAATAATGCACTTACCACTAACAATCTCTTGCAAAATTGTTCTGGGGTTATGATATCTGTTGTTAGATGTACTATAGCAATATTTGTATGCACTTCAGCTGGGCTACACTTTACAGATCTGCTTCCCATTCCATAAATTGCTGAGACAAAATAAAATGAATGGTTACACAAACTTGTATTGAAATTATTTTAATACTTTTGCATATGTGTCTAAAAACAACAAATCTGTCCTTTCCTGAGCAATGCTTCTCTCAAAAAATACATACTTCCTTCAAAAATTATGCATTGAGCAAATTGGATAAGGAATTGGAAAATCAAACTAGTACCAGCATTTGACTAGTCTCACAACAAACAAACAACATAAAACAAAACCATTTACACATTAAATTGTTCCACAGATGCAGCCAACCAATGACATCAAATGTTAACTTCTACCCTACCTTGTGCCAGCTGCTGAGCATGTCTATGGTCATCTGCTAAACGGTTTATCATGTTATCCATGGCATAAAGCCCTGCTGCTGCCAACATTCCAGCTTGCCGCATCCCGCCTCCCAAAACTTTACGAAGACGTAATGCTCTGCCAAGCAAAAGATGTATATTCATCCCTTTTAATAATCAAATGAACATGCACAAACTAATTGGGAATTCAATGCAAAGTTCCATATAGATAAAGGTAAAGAAATTATTGGACATATCCATAGATAAAATAATATCTATCCTAAAAAAAAAAACACCTAGAAGCTGCCTGGTGCAAGAGCTTTTTCTAAATATTTTCTATAATAGTTTTTAAAAACTTTTCTTTTTCAACCGACAACTTTCCTTTTAGAAACTGCTTTTCTAAGAACATGTCCTTAAATCCTATAAATATAATCCAAATACAGCTTATGCAGTAGCTTATTGATGGGAAAATAATCAATAACAGAAATCCAAGGGCACAGATAAACATGGGACTTAAACAAGCAATTTTGTTTACACCAAACCTTTTCCTTATTTGTTCTTCAGTTTATAATCAGATTTTTATTTCCACTGAAATCTTGGTAAAAGAGAAAGGAACACACCCTTTAAAAATATTCCAACATACCTTTCTTATAGAAGCTATACATAAAACACTTCTAAGAGTAATACAGTCTCTTCACATCACGTTGCAACTTACTTGTACATAAACTCCTCACTGCCCACAATCACAGAACCTACAGGAGTCCCTAAGCCCTTGCTTAGACATATAGATGCGGTTTCACAGGCTTGCAAAATCCGAGGAGCACTTTCCCCACTTGCAATCACAGCATTCATTAAGCGAGCTCCATCCATATGAAGGGGAATACCTATGGACTTTGCTATGCTGCCAACCTGAACAAGAAAGAGGTCTTACTTTAATTACTCAATGCTATAATGATTTTGGTATGTATTCATGGTTTTATTTACATCAACAACCATTCATTTAAACTTTTAGCTTATCTTCAAAGTCTGGATTATTATAAAGTCCTTCTCAACTTTCACTCAACCACTGCTGACAACCACCAAATTAATCCACAAAATGCTGAACCAATAAACAGCAATACAGCAATTGAAGGGTCAAGCAGTAAGAATGGGGATGAGTAAAATGCAGACTGAAAGGCACTAGTATTAGCCCATTAGAATCAGGGAACACCTGGAGATGTATCAATAGATGTTAGGGCTAGTCCAAACTGTCTATTCCTCACATCCCCATCCCCATTCTCAACTCTATCTATGCTGGTTTCTCCATGTTAACAGTTGTATTGGAATTTCTCAGCCATCACTACCTTTATTCTGATGCCCCTTTAGTTCAAACATTCTTTTAAAATGACACACATCTCGGCATGTCATGTCTCCTTTCTAGATGCAATGAGGACAAACAACACCTTCTATCCTCTCCACTCTTGCCAATGAACTCCTAATCTCATCAATCTTACCTCATCTATCCACGATAATGGTATTACTTTGCCACCACAAACATTCTGGGTATTTTCAATGCACACAAGGGCTGTTCGTGGACAGTGTACATCCTCATCTCTAACTCGGGCAGGTATTTCACTGACGTCAAATGTTCCATCAGCTCGGTTGGGTATAATGTGAGGCTGCACACCACCTAACTGTTTAAAAAGAAAAAAAAAAAAAAAAAAAAAAAAAAAAAAATGCAAGAAGTTTTAGCTATGACACCTGAACTTATGTATCTTATTCATAAGATATCAGACTCTCACTCAGTATAAATGTACTTGCATAAATATAGATCAAACAAATAATATATCTATAAAATATATATACTAACCTATTGCTATGCTTATAAAGCTTCTACAAAAAAATTAGTATCTTAAATTTCCTCTTACTGAATTCCTCTTTTTCTACTCTCTAATTTCTTGTCAACAAACACTAATTCATATAATCTTTATCAACATTAATTTTGTGTGCTGTCCTTTCTAAAAGACACCAACAACTGACTATATTCATTAACCCCGGATCTGGGTTGACATGACTGTCACATCACGCTGAGGGCCTGGTATTGGATATATGACATTACAGTAAATTTTGGCTGGTGGGACAGGACTGTTACTTCATGATAAATTTATCTAAAGGCCAGGGTGACATAAGTAATTTGCCATGAGTACACAATTTTCTTGAGCAATTAGGATGGAGCTCTTTCATTATTTCATTATAGGTGTCCCTGGAGGACACTATTTCCATGCTAAGGATCCTAGTAATGCCTGCCATAACCGGCAGTGTAGACTTACATAAAATTTGAATACAAAAACATTAAAAGATGGCAAAAATAACAAAAAATTACTTATTGTTATTGATATTGCAGAGTTGTAGACTACCTAGAGAGATGATATGAAGTTTGTGCAAGGAAATTAGTCTATTTGCATCTTAATACATTATATCAAATGACATATATAGACCTTGGAAAATGTCAAAAAAGCAAAAAACTGCCTATGAAATAAAAAAAGTAAGCAAACAGTCTCGATAACATACACAAGTGTTCATGATGGCTGAGCTTACAAGCCACTCAAGTAAGCCTAATCCCTGAATTTTGAGCTACATGCAGGCAGCGAGGACCCAGGATCCAACAGGTTAAACAAAAGTGCAACAAATTCACATTTCTTCCTTGTAAACTAAGATAGACTGAGGTACAATAACATGAAATCTTAACATTATGCAACCAATGAATCAGCTACTCCTCAAACTGCCATCACAATTTCAACCTAAAATATTCATATCTGCTAGCACTCAACAACAAATGATATAAAACTCCTATAAGCTTAATTAAAATGCACGATGATGTAACATGCGATGAAAGATGCACAAAAATATATGCATAACCAACACAGCATAAACTTCTTAAACTTAGATTTCATCCAGAGCTGCATCACAGACAGAAAGCAAATGCAACCGACTCTCTATAAAAATGTGAAAAGCAAGCTAGCCTGGTGGGTGTCCTGTTCTCCCCAGAGGCATTAGGCATATTCGTCCAAAGCAAATGGATGTTTTATCAATTGAAATTCTAGAATTGCATCTCACCTTCTAAGGACAGGAAGAGGGTAGAGTGGAAAAAAAAAAAAAAAAAAAAGAGAGAGAGAGAGAGAGAGAGAGAGAGAGAGTGATGAGCCAAAGATAACAATATAATAAATTTTCTCCTTTCCTTTCAATCAGGAAAATTTAAGTCATAATTACACTCTCTCCAAACTAGAAATCAACCAAAATATTTAATCTTGCTAAACGAGTGTACAGATTTTTACACAATATTAAGTTTAAAGTAAGTTAGTAGTCGACAATCCTTAACAACTGACCTGCGCCATGCCAGCCTGCTCATATAAGAATATGTGTGCCTGATCTCCAAGGAGCACCTCACACCCTCGATTCTCACAATGGCCAAGGACTGAAAAGTCAATGCAGTTAGACCATGTCAAGAAGTGAATACATTCAGTCAGGCATAAAC